AGGGAAAAACTCATGTTTCTAAGAATTTGCAAAAGAGAAATTCTCCCTTTTTCGACGTAACTAGTCCAACGCAGAAGAAAAATGACATGGTACATGGGCCCAAGGAGATATGTCCTTGTGTTCCATCCCAATTCATCAGTTGTCACTCCTTTCCATTGTCAACACCAACTTCAACTCCCTTTCTACCCTATACTACTGGCTCAGGGAAAAACTCATGTTTCTAAGAATTTGCAAGAGAGAAATTCTCCATTTTTCGACCTAACTAGTCCAACGCAGAAGAAAAATGACATGGTACATGGGCCCACGAAAGCGACAAACTAAAAAAAAAAAAAAATCTGATTTCTAAAACTTCCAGGAAGATTGTTAGACAAAAATGCAAAATTGGAAATTCAAACACAAACAAATAATACAAAGTGTTCAGCTACACAGCTTCACACTGATATATACTATATCTTTAGAATAACAAATTGTATATAAAGCATAGAAATCATAAAGCTATATTCAAAAGTTACTTATAAAGAATTCAGGTTGGTGGTCTGCGGTGTTTCTGTGCTTCAAAACGAGCAGCAAGTGTGTCGTAGTCAGGCAATTTGGGATGCACACGTCTCACGGGAAACTGTTCCTGGGTGCCTAGTTTGGTTGGTAGATTAGTTCCTCTTATAAACTCGTCCACCTCGTATTGATCATCATCACGGTCAGACTCATCAAACTTAATATTGGAATGTCCAGTTGGAGCACTATAGTTGTCACTGTGCCTTCTGATCTTTCTGTTATCCATATTAGTACTTTGTTTGGCCAACTTTGGTTCTTCCATCTCGATTTCTTCATCGTAATCTGATTCATCGTACTTTATATCTGAATGTGCTGACGGAATATTATAGCTGTGTCTCCTATGAATATTTTGAGCATCCACATCATTGGGTCCGAACTCTGCAACCCCGAGACTACGTGAATTCCCAAAACTACTGTCCTTCATAATACTCTTTTGGACAACAGATCCATTACTCATAACCCGAGAATTACCCGACACGTTTATGTCTCTGCTGGCCAAAATGGCAGCTGCTTCAGCAGCATAAGTGGCTTTCTTTGCAAACTTGGCAGCTGCTTCAGCAGCTGATGCTGAGTTTTCATAGTGCACGATATTGCTCTGTTTATCGTTCAAGCCACTATTTGGCCAGGGGTAAAAAGTTGAAATATAAGCTATTTATATTCAACATCAACCATTGAAGTGAAATTTCTATTTCACATTTGAAAGAAAAAGTACTAGTTTCAAATGCTACTATTAGAAAATAGTTTACCTGAGTGTTGAAATGTTCGGCTCAGGAGATTTCTCAGGGATCGACTTCAATGGTAAGCTACCGGCACTTACAAAGTTGTTTGGTCCTTCCTTTAAGAAAAAAACAAAGTAAATAGAGAGAGTAGAGATTAAATAGAAATTTAATTACATGGGTGAGATCTCATGGCTTTTTTTGTGCATGCATTCGTGTGTGTGAGAGAGAGAGAAGAGAGAGACTATAAGTTTTTCTGGGGGCTTAAGTAGTTCTGTCTCTGATTCTGTTGTATCCCAATCAGCCTGATATTCTTTTGCTATTTCCTTCAAAACTTTCAATTTTGTTTCACCGGTTGGGGACCTAATCGAGAGCTTTTCAATAAGCTGAAACAGATAGCAAAATAATTCAGACAATGAAAAAAATTACACACACACACAAGTTAAAAAAATGAAACTACGATGAATTTGCAAGGAACAAAACATATCTCAAACCGAGCACGTTATTTGTCTGGCTCAACAATTTTGAATGTAAACTGAATCTGATTCATAGAAGATACAGTTGAAGGTTAGGAATAAATACCGTGCGATTAACCCCAGCATTTGGTCGTAAATCAGTGGCTGTAGAAACAAAATCCTTCCCATATTTCTTCTCAAAAACATCTCGAATAGCTAACAATTCAGGAATATCTGAGCACCGAGGAGCTGCAAATATTAAACTTGATATCCCTTCTTTCAGGTCAGCTGGACACACTCTGAATATTGAAATTGTGATGAGATTTTATCACGTAAACAATCCTAATGATTCAAATGAAATTGAGTTTTGTATAACACCTTTGCTTTGCAATGACAGAAAGTCTGGCCACCACTAATTCGCAGAAAAGCTCAATGAACTCATTTGCAGCCATAATATTCTGTTCTCGAATTACATGTTCGACCTACATAACCATAGTAACATTGTGACAAAACCTTGGCAAGGGACAACATACCATAAAAGTTAATGGTAATGAACAATGTACAAGTGTGAAGTCGAGGTTACAAGAATTGAGGATAAGGAATTGACCAGTTTTGCAGTTGGAACATGTCTTAGGTAAGCATAAAGAGACCCATAAGAGCGATACAATGTCTTTGGTAAGCATGAAGAGACGCAGAGTGACACAGCGAAACAATGTCTTAGGCAAGCATAAAGACAATCACTTGTAAGAGTGTCACAGTGTCGGTGCAACAAGTTAAAAGATGGGAGGGATGGAAATTAACATGGCGACTACGGTAGGAAATTCTTCCTTCGATCTTCCTGTGCGTGTATCAATGAACCAAAAAAGGATTCTCCAAGACAAATCCAAGTTTATCGAAACTCCAAAATAAGACTATGAAACCTATCCTGCTATGACTAATGCTGACTAATGTTAGATTCGACAAATTATAAAAGGACCTATATTAGAAATCCGCCATGATCATAAAGGCACTACTTTCTGAAAATCATAGCGAAATTAACTAACTTTCATGTGAAGAATCGCTTGAACCTTTATCCCTTTCCAAGCAAAAATCATTCAAAATAGTCAACAAAGTCATCCAACAAGAAATCCACCTTTGAACTACATTTCTTCTACAACTTGGGACCTAGGAATTCGAGCAATAACGCCAACAATTATGCAGGAAAATTTCATGTTATAACGAAACAGAGAAAATAAAAAGAAAAGAAAAAAAAAATACCCGAACACGAGCAGTGGCGTCCTGACCAGACTCGAGAAGCATAGCAATGTCACGTCTCATTTGCCTTACAACTGCTTCTCTCTTGTTTCTCAGAAGCTTTATTCTCGCCACCGCCATTTTCGCCATTGATTTGCTATTTATATTCCAGGAAAGTAAATCAAAAGTTTCCAAGTTTATTCAACCAACTCAATCTATTACAAAAATTAAAAAAAATAAAATAAATAAATAAAAGAACTTAATTACCATTTGGAGGAATTGAAGCCACGTCGAAAGAGCGAAAGACCCATTTTCACAGCTTTCTTCCAGTGGCTTGTGGCGGCGCTTGCCACTGTCATTTTGCCCTACTTTTTTCGCCCTTTTATTCTTGAGATACAGCTAGAAAGAGAAAGCTGAGAAGAGAGAGAAACTAAACCGTAAGTGATTTTTGATTTATTTAAGGTTGCAACGGTCGACTTGAAGAGGCCCGTCGACAGGGATGAATCCGACTGTTACAGTTACTATACAGCAGCTTTTATTGAATTTGTGCCGATGGGGATGACAGAGAAAATACTAAATAGCCGTTGTATGATGAAAAGTGATGGCATAAGTGCGGCCCGTAATGAGATCCAATGCAGACTGACTTTGGGCTTGGCCCACTCTACCCCACTTAGGGTCCACAAAAATCTCCCTACAAAGTTTTCGAAGTTGAGCCATTGGTGAGACATGGAGAGACTTGAGGAATTTCGAATCCAATATAATTCATACGAAATTTGAAATATCTTTTGAAGATTCATGACCAAGGAGATTTTAATAACTTCTAGCTAGCTAATTTTTTATAATTCATTTATCGTCCTACGAGAAATGAAAAATTTCTCAAAATAAGGCAAGACATATCTCTCTCTTCTTATTATAGACGCTCTATCTTAAATTTCTTAAAGAGTGTTGCTAGAAATGCATTATTGATTAGTTGATAAAGAATCCCTACTTAATACTCAAGTGCATTAAAATGTATCGCAACTCATTGTGAATCAAGAACTTACTATCACCTAACCAATAATGCATATCTACTTAAACCTTGTATTTGTGATTATACGAGTTTGTAAGAGAAGAGGATTATGCAAATTTATAAGCGTTTACACTTTATAAGCATTTATGAAAGGTAGGACGAAAAAACTTAAAATCTAGAAACAAACCAATTGCACTGTCAACGATAATCGGATTTATTGCTTAGCAACCCAATACTGTCGGAGTAAAAAACTTCCAAGAGCCATGAGCAAGATGTACATAAAAAATGTAATCTTCGATATTGCACGCAATGCAACATAAAAACATAGCAAGATAACCACAAATCCAATAGAATACAGTAACGAGTGTAGCAACATCCAACATAATCCTTCCCAATTCCATCAACATGTTCATATGACAGTCTCCAGAAACAGGTCATGTAGCCACAGACAAAAAGCGAAAGCAAGAGAGAGAAGTTAAGGGGCAAATGGGAAAGGAGAATCAAAATTCCTGGTGCCAACGACCAAACCACGATAACATGAACGAAATTAAGACCACACCCAGGCAAATTCCAAATGACGATATTTTCACATCTGAATGGGTCGCATTATCCATTTCATCCAATCATTTTTCCTTCTCACTTTATCGACCTACAAAGCAAAGGGAGAAGGAGAAAAAAGTAAACTGCAAAGGAAAATCATGAACCAAAATGTCACTCATTGAAGTTGTGATATGACACTTTTATACATTGTGCCGTAATGCAAAACAATCATAAAAAGAACCAGAATCAGCAGGACATTATATAAAAACATTTAAAGAACCAGTAACAACAAGATGCTATTCACTATGCCAAAAGTAGTATAAGAAAAAAAAACTCACGACTTATGAGATCAGTTTTGATGTATTCTTTAGTAAAAGCAAAGTTGACAAAATACTACAAACAAATTTCAAACCTGTACTTCCACAATGTTTGAAGCCTGTACAGCCTCCAGTATAAGTTGAATATTGTCTGTCAGCTCCATGACCTGTAAAGAGTGGCTCATAAGAATTTGCATACATTTTGGATGATGCTGACAATAAATGACGACCAATTGACATTGACATCAACATTTTCATTCACTTATCTGAACCACTAAAATATCAATACTTTCTAAGGCAATGACAAGTTACAATGTACTCAAAATGTTCTTTATGCACATTTTAGCTTAACACTAATAAATTATTGATAAATTAAAAGACAGCTGAATTATGCATACTGATTCAGGTTTGATTCATATGGAGAAATTGCGGATTTCATACATCAGACGCATAAAGTAAGTTGAAGACCATATATACATGTGTCTTGTCAGATAGATAAGCTTTTATTGATTATCTATCATTCTCTGTGTCATGGAAAAAGTACTTCCATAAATAAAGCCTATCTATTGCACAAGACATTGGGCCTAGCTAAGTTGAAGACCTAAAACGCATAAGCTTGTTTTATGGTGTTCTGACAAAAATAAAAGTCTCCCTCAGGATTATGGTGAGAGAAGATCGCTACAATCACTAGAAAATCCGTCAAAAGGGTAATTGCTCTGTACCTTCTCCCAATAATCGAAATATCATATAAAGGACAAACCATAACGAGTCAATAACACAGTGTGAAGGAGATGTGGAAAGCTAGAGAGTAAGACCAGAAAACAAAAGGGTCAGACAAAATGTAAATTAGAACAAAATTAAGTATTTCTATTAAACTACACCATCAAATACATCCAATCGGAAACTAAGACAACTGAAGATGTTGTCTACATTCACAATGGTTTACACAAGTAATTTCTACAAGTTGTTAGAGACAACAACAAAATAAGCAAAAATGCTAGTTAACTTCAGGAGCACAATTCCATCGGGATATTACACGCACTGAGCTCATTATTTGGCAACCAGCCTGATAAAATCTGGAATCTGCAATTTAACTAATTGCAGATTTTGAAAACAAGGTAGTAGCAGCTATAAATTTAGAACAGTACAACTGCTTCTTGTGTTGGTTGTGAAGAATGTCACAGTGGTTTTTGATCGGGTCACGAATTCAAAAAGAGTTCATGAGCACGAAAATGAATACTTATTGGGTTTGTCTGCAATTGCAAAATACAAGCAGCAGCTTATAGATTCTCAACTATTCAATTAGGCTGTGAAAAGCTAAAAGTTAAAACCATCCTTCTCAAGACGCTTCTAGATTCTCATGGCATGACCTAACTGTCCAGAAGTTGTTCTTTGACTTGCTCGCTGCAATCAATTTTGTTCTCTTCTAAAATGCTTGAACCGCCATTACAACACAAATCACCCGAACACCATCCTTCCCCCTTCCTTTTGAAACCCTTTCCCTTCAGCAACTTTGCCAGAAAATCACAATAGGGACCTCACAAGCAGCAACTATACACAAATAAACGTGACACATGCACAGATCCCTCCTCTTTTTTGTCTTTATTCCTACTACAACTAAAAGAATGTTCTATATATTCTGCCTTAGTTCTATTCTACCTAATCTAAAATTTTTAAGATTTCGAAGTACTATTCCAAAGTTTTCACTCATACTTATTATCATCCTCCCAAATCTTATTTATTAAAACTATGTCATCAGCTAACATACAGCATGAGTCTTGTATTAAATTATGTCCACAAGCTCGTACTTCACTAAAACATAAAAAATAAAATTTTATGGCAGAATCTTGTTGCAATCAAAATTTTCTATTATTACTCAGCTGCATGTCATACGCTTAAATCATACATCTCCTTAATTATATGTAATATATTTATTCTTATAAAAAACGCCTAAAGCCAGTTTCCAGCAAAAAAATCTCATTGTTCTTAGCAAACATTATTCTCTCTTTTAAATCTCATTAAGAAGTTTTGCCAACAAAAGTTACACAGATAACCTTAAGCCCTATCGCACTATTCAATCACAGCCAATTTCTTTTACCATCTAAATCCTCTTCATAGTCTCTCACGTTGGGAATTTAAATACATTTAGTATATGAAACATGTTTGTCATCAATAATTTGACAGATCCACACAGTTTTCTATCAAATAACTTTTGTCTAAATAAAACCCTCATCCTTTTTATGTCATCATTAAAATTAAAGATTATATCTCCTTAACGCATTTGACTTGTTTTAAATTTCGTTTAGCCAAGATGTCTTGTGAACATTTTATTCCAGACTCTTGGTAAATAACTAATTTCTCTAAAGCAAAATGCTTGGTGACCAAAGAAAATTTGAGGAAGCTGATTATAGTTTTTTTTTTTTTCGTGGAGCCACCTATCAGTCTAGTTTGACCAATGGCGATTAAGTACATCCCAGTTGAAATGTGATTTTCAGCTGTTTTTCATGTCAAAAGCCCTAGGCAGCTAATTTCATCTTTTCACGATTTTCTTCAACAGTTTCAAGAAACTAACCAACTTCCTATTATAACCTACTTTTTGACACACTCTTAACAGAAGTTGGTTCTCCATTTCTTGAATTTATCAGAAACAAGCCCACAATATGATTAGTTCAATCTCAAATGGATGGCATATCCTCTAGCTTCTTACTGCACTCTCTTCTTTTAACACTAACAAAGAACACGATGATCAGTTCTCCAATTATTTTTGCCGTATTTAGAAGGGAGAATATTGAATTGAAAGAGTTGGGAAGACCAAAGTGCTTAGCTTTATTACATAGAAGTTGAATAATAGAATAGAATGTCCATCAAGCCTGTCCAACAAAATAATATTCATCTTATAGATTTGTTGAATGGTTTAAGCTACTGGCCAAACGTCAATATCAAATTCAACCTGAAATTATCTATATCCAAAGTAGGTTCCTTGTCACCCAAGCAATACATCCAGACAGGTTTTTAAAACCTTCATACAATCAAGTTTTAAAAAAAAGATGTACTTAACATCAAATACTAAGAAATAAATGAGAAATATATGTGTTTTCAAAGGAAGCAGGTGAACAAAACGATTCTTGAGTTTCTATGATATAATTAGGTGCATATACTGAAAGAATCTAGATGGGAATAACAAAGCTTTTCAATAAACAAGCTTCTACAAAGAACTTTCTCAAAACCATCAATTTTCGAATATTAAAATCCCATTAGTCAGAATACTGGATGTTACTGACATACATGTTTCAGTCCTTTTGAGTTATCAACATTTCGAGGCGAGGCAACACTGCCAAACTCATCATTAGAATTGATAGACTTTGCATCATGACTTAAAGGTTCAATTTCAACAAAGAAGAGAGACAACCCAGCCGCAGCTAAAAAGACATGAAAAAGACAAGTGCGAATATAGATAAAGCCTGAAGCCTATACATGAAGTATAAAAAACAATGTCGTTCAACTTGTACCCTATATCAACTGCTGGCGAGAACAGCCATAAAACCCAAAACACATTAAAATAATTAATCTTTGAGCAAATTATACTGACACCTAGTGAGGTATCTGGCAATTACACTAATACCCCTTCGCAAAAACTACAGTGTGTTATTAAAATTACAGTAAATGACATGGACAAAGATTAAAATTGTAGGAGAATAAAAAATGTCTTTAGAGGTACCCTACAAAGCGAATTGCTCACATAGGGAGCAAGGTAGTCCCAGGTGTAAGAAATTTGAGACACATATTACCTAATTTAGGGAAAAATTAATTAAGTTCTGGGTATATGAGCATTTTTAGTAAGATACAAGTATGTCTTACTCGAGGCAGTCATAAAAAACCCACAAAAACAAATACGAATGAAAAATGAGAAAATCCTGAGTTACAGAATGAAATTCCCTTTGGGTAAAAACTGTACAGCTGCAATATATAACTAGCTCTATCAGCTTCTACTACCGTCACTTAAAATATCACAGTGAAAATTAGTCAGGGATCTAGGATTGCCAAATAAATCAACAAGCATGATGCATATTGAGCTTATTATGGAGTATTGTATCAAAAGACAGGCAAAAGACCAATTTTACTTCAAGGAATGAGAACAAAGACACTAATCATTCTAGACAACTTACTTTCCTAAAACCTGCTATTAACTGAATTGGAACCCATCCCTCTTCATCCATGTTCTGGCGCAAGAAGGTATCTTTAACTAAATTCTCATTACTGCAAAATAAATGGATAAACAAGAAGTTAGTGTCTAAATGGTGGTAGACAGAATATAATTCTCATTCCCTCATAAGAGAAACTAGCCACATAATTAAGTACCTAAAATAATAATCTATCTGATACATTATCTTGTTAGACAAGTGAGGATCTGTCACAGGAAAAAACATAGGCCGAATTGGAACCATAGGCATCCTGAGGGAATCTGGTTGAGTGCCTGTAACATAAAATACAGGAGAATGCACTTCTGCAAGCATATCAGAACATCAGTACAAGGACAAAAGAATGAAAACATGATTTTAAAGTAACATATGTCACCAGTGTAAACCATCGGAGTGCCGAAGGGTGGTCTCACAGCCAAAGGAGGAGGGGAAATATAAGGCGTACTAGAAGCTGGACCACGAATGAAAGGCCTAGAAGCAACTCTCTGCTGCGGCATATTGCCTTCTCTGCTGCCAAAATTTCGATAAGTATCCCAATCCTGATTCCCACGTTCCCGATCACGCCTGCCACCACGGCCATGATAATGGGCGACATCCCCTCGAGGGTGTGGACCACCACTGCCTCTTCTAAATGAATTCCGCTGATGTTGTAGCACATTCCCACCATGTGATCCTCCACTTTGCCCACTCTCCCTATTTGTGATATCCCTCGCAGAAGACTCCCCAGCAGAGCCACCTGACTTACCCAAATTATTAGAGACTAGTTCCACCGCTGCACCTTCTGGTGGTAGTGACCGAGAAACATAGTCACTAGCCGATCCATCACTATTGCTCATACCCCCGCCAACATGCTTCATAGACCTCTGCCGGGTAGGGCCGACATTGTGGGGTGTTAAATTAGGGTTTGTGTTACTACTGGTCTCTTGTTTATAGGTAGATGAAAAACCTACTCCAGTACCCTATCATACAGACGCACATAAACATAGAGAAGTCAAATTTTCAAATGTCTGTAGGAAAAACTAAAAACCAACTGTAGTGGTCTTTCATATACAACCGCAGCATATAACATACATGAATTTTAATGCAGCATAAGACGTACAAATACTTGCAAGTAAACTTTATAGTGTATACTGTATAGAGGAGAAATTAAGAACTTGGCCTGTAACATAAATAAATTAATAAGCAAAAGTATTACGAATGTATAAATAATTGTATCCATCGAATGTAGACCTGCAAAGAGACTGTTCCATCAGACAGAGCTTTGAGAGAATCAGATGAAGATGACTTCTTGGTAGATGCACGGGTGGATTCAGAGAGAGCAGGCCAAGACTCCGCCCCCATTACAGCGCTAATTTCTGCAGTAGCACCATTTGAAGGCTTATTCCAAGCCGGTTTCTTAGTAGCATTGCTTCCGTTGCTGCTTCCCCCACCATTCTCAGTGTTCTCCGGTGGAGTCTCAGCAGCAGCAGCAGCACTCTCCACCGTAGGACAAGTCATAGAACCAGCTACCGCTACCAGCGTAGAAGCAGCTCCTGAAGGGGAAGAATCAGAAGAAGAGGAATTCGCATTTGCCTCCCTGGCAACAACACTAGACAAGGAGGGAGAATGCAGAGAAATCCCGTTTACAGCCACAGCCGCAGTGATGGAAGAGGAAGAGGAAGAGATGATATAATCCGAATCGCAGTCACGGACAATCTGAGTCAAGGGAGAGGAGCCGGCCCACCTTGAATTGGGACTGCTAGGGGATTGATGAGCCGAAGAAGAACTAGGGATTGGATTAGTTGCTGTAGCCATCAAAAATTATACTTTTCTTTTGGGGATTTCTGTTTTGCAAAATAAGGGCTTCGAATTTTTTCTAAATGATAAACAAAAAAACTCCAAAGATTGGAATTCAGGTTGCCAAAAACACCTCTCTGGTTTGAAATAACAATTAAGATCGATTAATCAATCGGAAAGCCCCTAAAAAGAACTAAAAAAATAAATAATGATATGATCGACTGAACAATTGGAAAACCCTAGGAAGATCAAAAAAATACTAATCAAATCGATCAAAACTTTCTAGAATTAGACTGTAGGAAGAGAGATTTTCGATGGATCGAAGAAGATCCGATTCGGGGTGGAGAGGATGAGATTTTCTTCTTCACAAACAGAAAAACACACATATAGGGAGAAACGAATCTTCCCTCTCTCTACGACAATTCTTTCCTTCTTTGCTTCCTCACGAGATAACCCCCGCCTTCTTTCTCTTCCGACTGCGTTTATACTTATAGGTGTATATTTGCTTGCAATTTTTTTTTAATGTAAATTTACTTACCCTTGTTTGAGCCCCATTTCTTTCGTCAAAATACATTTTTCAACAATAATTTGATCTCATTGCAACCATACATTTTTTAATAAAATAATATTATATATAAATTTATAATTTTTTTTTATTTTTTAACCATAAAATTTTCATCAATACACAATTTAAAAATACATTTTCTTACAGAAATGGAGCTCAAAAAAGGGCTTAATAATTAGAAGTAATTTGGAAATGAGTAATCCACTCTATGGATTTCATTTTATTATGCTAAAATTTTACTTTTCAATATATAAGTAGTTAATATGCAAAAAGTAATCGAAGTACTTCGAAATGTATATTTAAAATTAAATAATGTTATTTGCAGCACTCATTATCGCGATCGCTCTACACAGTATACATGCGATGGTTAGCGATTTGTTATATAAGATAATAAAAAATTACCGCATTAATGTATCAAATCACTAACTTTCATATATATGTCACATATAACAACTACGACGGTGAGCGATTGCAAATAACATTACTCTTAAATTATTTTTAGACTTTAAAAAGTAAAATAATAATAATAATAATAATATGCAAAACTTCAATATCTATTGTCCTCATTGTGCAAATAGACCAATATCGTTTCACCTTTAGCATAGAGCTCTCAAATCAGCATTTCTTAACACAAATTAGGCTCAAGTATCGGGGTGAGTCGATTTGAGTATTTCAATACCCAAAACAAGACTTGGGCGAAAAAATTGAAAAATCGACAAAACCAATACAATCGACTCGACTCGGGCCAGTTCAGGTCGATTTGGCACATGTAATTAGTTTGTTTGATTTTTATTTTTTTTTAAACAACATCATGGTGAGTTGATTCAACCATGGTTTGAAGTCTCAAATCGCTGGGTTTGAAACTTCAAATAGCTAGTTAACTGAATTAACTCAATCCACTTGTATGTTTATCTTTTTTTTTTCTTTTAAGAAAAATAAAAATCAAAAGATAAGCATACTCTCATAATCATGTCTCGATTCCCTCAATCTATGATATTGTCGATAAGTAATAGCACTGAAAATTTCCTTTCACAAACTCATTATGTTATGCTTAACTTTTTTTCTATTCAGACAGCCAGGCTACACAATGCATAAAAAGCAACAAAATTCTTAATTTTTTTGTCGATTCATCTTTATTAATTTATTTTATTTGTTAGTTAATAGTTCTTATAATATAAAGTTATTTAATTATTTAAGTTCTTGTAATATAAGTGGACTCAAAGCTAGGATTTTTTTTAATTTATTTTTTTAATAAAAATTTCAATTTGAACTAAAAGTCTAAATCGACCAACCAAACCAAACCAACATATTTAATTTGGTTTGATTCGGTTTAAGAATAGAATGTGTTGATTTTGATTGAAATTCACTCAAACCAACTAATTTGAGTTTGGTTTAGGATTGGAGTCGAAAACAACTCAAACCATACCGCTTCAAGGCCTACTCAGAGCCACCCATTATACTTCAGGTAAATCGTAAATGGCATTATCTGGTCCTTGCAATTATTGGAACGAAACCCAAACCTAAGCCATTGATTTAAGTTCTAGTTTGGTTTCCATGCTATGTGTATCGAATTTTTGTATCTAATCCCTTACCGACTACTCACAATAATAAGGTGAGGACTACATTTTGAAATTTTTTATTCATGTGGGTCCGCATGCATATGAGAGAGGGTAAACAATTCGGCACACCTTTTGGTGTACGAATAGAATTATTCGTATTTTAATAAGATAATGCTACATGTACATAATGTTATACACCCTCTCACGTGAAGGGGGTCAACACATTATTTATTATGTGTGGGTCTCCCTCTATGTAAAAGTGTGTAAATGATTATGTACAAGAAAAAGTGTATAAGTAGAGTAATCATAAATTTTCATATAGGCCCTTTAGATACGTACGTCTAACACGCTACTAATCGACAAATTTGTGTAAGGGAGAAAATTCAACTAAAAAATCTTCAAAAAAAAAACAAAATGGCGGAGACTAAAACTCATGACAAAGGGAGAAGATTTAAATATCAAAAATCAAATTACAGTTCAAGAAGAAATTATTTTTCGTGATAAATCTTATTCGATGCACAAGTGAGCCATGCTAGAGCCTATAATTTAATTATGAAAAATGCTTAAATTCTTTTTCTATTACAACGAATTGACGTAAAAAATACTAATTACATATCTAATTATATATTATCAAGAAATTGAAATCAACATATTAGAACTCATCTTATTTTAATAAAACAAAGATATATTTTAAAAAAGAACCACAAACTCAAGATAATCAAAAAGTTATATCACAACCAAACTATGAATATATCAAGTTCAACTGTCACACATTATTAAAAAAAAAAAAATCACTTAAGTTTATAAACAATACAAGAAAGTAAAAAATTCGAATTGTAAAAATTAACATGTTTGAAGGTTTTGATTCATCAACTTACATCGCAACTTGGCTTGATCTCTTTGATTCATAAAAAATCCAATTTGGAAAGATTAATATGTATTATCCTCTAAAATATAACAATCTGTTGTTAGGAAAGAGGCAAAAGAGTAGGAGTCATTTTTGATACATTTGTATTGAAGTCTAGAACTTTAAATTACTATCCAAATTAGAGTTTTTAGCTTTTGTATTTTTTTTTCTAAACAAGCTGTAAATCGTAAATAATAAAATTATGTAAAAAGCCTGTTCTATTTGGGTACTCGTGCATCTGGTTGAAGAACCAAGATTCAATTTGGACCCAATCGATTCTCTCTCTCTCTCTCTCTCTCTCTCTTTTTTTTTTTTTTTTTTTTTTTTTTTAATGGATCAATTCGAGAGGTAGAGTTCTGATTAAAATATCTAGGCCTAACACAAATGGTCCTTTCCATTTGATTCTGGCCATTTATTCTGTTAAATAAGCGTGTACTTTGCACACGACATTGCCTCTGTTTGATCCCTATTAAATTAAATTACATTACATTCCATTTTGCCCTAAATTTAATATTGTGCTATATGGATGTTTCGAACCTTGGAAACCCCCCCCCCCTCCTCCAATAAGGAGATTCACTAGATCAATCTACAAAAATTTTTGTGCTGACAGCAATTGAAAATCTCTCCTGGCCAAAAATAAATATATAAAAAAAAAAAATAATAATGATAATAATAATAAATAAAGAAGTAAAACCAGTGTTCTAAAATGTGTAATGCGTGGCGATGCATCGATGCCAAACTAAGGGCAATGCAAGATTAAGCGAAGCAAATGCGTAAAAAAGCTTTTTCTTATTTTAATATTATTTTAAATTTTTAATCAATAAAAAAATTATTTAATAATTTAAATTATTTAATAATTATAGATTATTTAATAATTATAAGTTTTAAAGAAAAAAACCTAATGATGCGCGCCTAGGCACATTGGCGCCTTAGCCTCGCCTCGCGTCCATTGACCGCCAAATAAGCCACCAAGCAATTTGCTTGGCGCCTTAGCCTCGCATCGCACATTGGTGCACTATTTAGAACACTGAGTAAAACTATACAGACTTCTATTAACATGAACAGGTGAGCGTTTGAGAGTAGAAATTCACAGAAAATTTACACATTAGGAAATTCAACAAACTTCATGTCTATTTCTGCCAGAAGCCTAAATGGAAGTAGGATCCCAATAAAAATCAGAGAACACTCGTGATTCTGCACCAATCTGTTACTCTTGGAAGGCAGTCGAACTCCTGCCCGACAGACGAGTTAACGACATAGTTGGATGCATCTTTGGGATTTTTCTTTATCATTTTCCTCATTGACTGAGACTCGCACTGTTGGAAGAACTACCCTGAAACCGTGGGAGGACGAGTACCCATTCAAAAAACTCTCATTTGTAAAGCTTTTTCTCATCGCTCATTGGTTGCTTTCCATTCTTCTCTCCTGACGATACCTCCTACATCAGATAAATAATGATCATGCCTCAATAAACACAATTCTTGAGTTCACACAAATTTAAATTTTCAAAGATTGACCAGAAACCTTCTGAACTGTTGATCCTGGTATTTTAAGTTCCAGATCTGTTACGACATTGTTAGAATTCACAGCTTTCTGGCTGGTGCTACTTCTGTATTGATCGGATATCCTGCTTATGGAATCTTGTCGGCTAGAGATAAAAGATGTTGATGCATTTAAGGTGGTTGGGTGGTCAAGCAGGGGAACAACAGGAGTAGGATATGGAATATATGATAAAATGGGATTCGGATTGGGAAATGGTGGAATTGTTGGATGCATGGGAATTGGACCAGGAGGAAACGGTAGAGGGCCAACTGGATATGAAAATGGAGGTGCCATGGTGATTGAAGGATTAACAGCACCCCATGGAATCATAAACCTTAAAGCTTGCTCATACTGAGCATTGAGATTCTCAACATCGGATTTCAGAGATGCTTTCTCTTCTCTGAGGTCGTTCTTCTCCTGTGTCAGCTATTTAAGAGAAACAATTGTTCGATAAGAAAAACCAATATTGACTAATGAAGCCTCAAAATCAAGAGGACCAAAATTTAGTAAGTGAATGGATCATCACCTCTAGTGATTCTTCATGAAGTACTGTATGCTCTGTCTTTAGTTTGCTGACTTCTGAAGTTAAGTCCTTGAGCACTTGGATTGCATCAGTGAGTATGGAAGCCTTGTCATTCTTAGCTGAATCTAAATAAATAAAACAAAAACAGAAATTATTCAGAAAAACACCGCAGAACTTCTTGTTTCCCTTTTTTTTGGTTATTGAAAATCAGTAGAACTATCATTCTGACCAAAAAATAGAGGACTTAGAAGCAGAGATTTGAAGGGAAACTCTCAACCAGGACTTGTGGTGCAACGAAATTGAAAGATTTAGGATCCAAAGTCCCTATTTACAGGTCGAGACCAACTTGCCACATAAAGCATGGCTGGGAACCAACACTGAAATTTTCCCTTATTTATTCAATTTTGAGCAGTTAAGACTATATATTTTTAAAGAGCATATTTTCCTATTTAAAGAACATTTATAAATTTAGAGAGTAAAAAATTTTAAATACTCCATCAGCCTCGCTATCTTTAACGTTTAATTTTACTACTATAAACCCTGAGAAGTAACTCAGTGCTTAGGTGTTGGGTTTGCCCCCAATGGTCACCAATTTGAGTTCTCTCAAGGCTACTGAGATGAGCACCCGACTATAAATTTCAAGGCCCCGTGAAGTTAGTCAACTGCGCGTAAGCTGGCTCGAACACTCATGGTCATAATAAAAATAAAAATAAAGCATTTAATTTTACTACTCCCAATATGTATATATTATTTTCTTCATCTTTTATTTTCTCCAACTTCCTATCGTTTTCTTTGTACATATTATTTAGTTGGTCAATATATGGAGAATCGAAAATCAAAATATTTTGAATTATTTAATCATAGAGAGTTGATTTGGCTCTCTCTTTTAAAATATTAACTTGAAAAGTATTTTCGAACATAATTTTAAGGGTTGACTCTTTAAAATAGATAGAATTTAACTTTTAAAAAGTCTCTTGACGATACTCTATGATTTCCCAACATCGAATTCATAGAGTTGATTCTGACAAGGATACGATTAAGGATAAGCTAAAACAAGACATGGTTTAATGTAAAACTCAAAGTACTTGCAACCATGGATGCAACAAAGATGCATTATCTTACCTACTATATTTCCTAGCTCCTGAAATTGCTCATTTAGCTTATCTCGTCTCAATCTCTCACGGTCTGCCTTTTGGACTTTTCTAGGAGAGATCGCATCATCAGCCTTCACATCATCCCTTTGTCTATAAGAATTCAACATTAAAGATGTACGAGCCAAATCATATTTATTATAAGCATGATAAACTAAAAACAAACTATAACATGACAAATTTACTGCAAAAAATTCCATGCATAAATTCATAGATGTTAATGCACCCTAATTATTCTATTCACTTCCCATTGACCATGGATTGCCCTTCGAAAGTATATTGATTCCTCCATATACATATTAAGTTTATTGCAAAAAAAGAAAAAACAACTTTGGAGCAAATGCACAAACTATAACATGACCAATTTACTGCAAAAAAAACCTTCCATGCATAAATCTGAAGGAGTGAAAGTACCCTAATTATTCTATACGCTTTCCCTTGACTATGGTCCTATGAGTTGACCTTCGGATATATTTGATCACTCCATATCTCAATGAGACGAGAAATTGCTACTATAACTGTTCTACCCATTTTCCCACGTATTGTTCGTCTTGGGAGAGCATCTGCCCCCTTGCCCCTCACGAAATTCTATCGCGACCCTTAAGATTCGAACCCAGAATCTCTTTTTCACGAGACTTAAGTTGAATCTTGGTACTAAATGAATCTCCCAAAGCGAACAGTATGTTAGCGAACGTTCAGGATGAAACTCGGGTCATTACAAAAACGCGTATTTTTTTTTAACACCCCAACATTTATGCTCAAACTGTAAGCTTACATATTGTCCTCTTTGGGAGGACATGTGCTCTCTTACCCCTCACGACCTTTTGTCACATTCTTCAGGATTCGAATACAAGACCTCTACCTTTTGGTACAAAAATTCAACTTAAGTCTCCCATAAGGCAAATGTCTTAGGTTCAAATTCTGAAAAATGAAATAAAAAGCCATGAGGGGTAAAAGGGCAGATGCCCTCTCAAAACAAACAGTATGTAAACTGACAGCTTTGGCATAGAGGTTGGATCGTCATGGTAACCCTTTTTCTTCATAGTAAAAATATGTGATAACAAGTGGACGTAGCTATAGTGGTTTGAGAACCACTATAAATCTGCGATTTTGCTATCATGTATTTCTGATTTCGTGTTATCTCATCATTGGAATTGGGGTTTAAGAAAGCCAAATATCCTGTGCATAACCAGACAAACATATCAAGGTCAGAAGCCTTTCATTCTATAAGAATATCCACCCCGCTCCTCCTTGCCCCCAAGGATTGAGAAAATATGTCAATACAGAAATTTAAATCTTCAAAATTTTCCATGGTCATGTAGTAGATACCCATAACTGACCTTATCTTCAGTAGCCAATAGATGTATAAGCTTTTAACAGTCAATCAACGGGAAAGAAAGGAAGAGGAAAGAAAAGGGAACTCTGAATATATTCCAAAAAGTTCACTAATCTAATGACGAAAACGAAAGATACTTTCCAGATTAAGGGACCTCTTTACTCACAAAGTAGAAGAAAAAAGCTACAGTAACCCCATGAAGCATGAAATAAGATTTAAACCAAGCGAGCTGTCGCATTCAAAATAACGAGAAACAAATACATGCAATGCATCAATCATTCTTATTTTTTCACCAGTCAGTCAGCACCAGTCAAGATTGATATAATCTGAGCTAACGAAACCAGACCAAATTTGAATCATTATATTTCCTTATCTCCTATGCTTAAAAATAAAAATTTTAATCTCATTCCTTGTTGTATTTGATCAAACTTGGTAAAATCCTAAATGCGTGAGACATGTCAACCTTGTAAAATCTCCCCAACTCATCTAAACATGTACCTTCATTTATATTTCTCGATAAACAGAATATTATAGACAGAATTGATTTCAGGATCCCTTTTGGACAGACAGTTATTTCTAATCATGATTAAAGTATCAACAGCGTTTCACTTGAATCAATTGGGAACTCCAACTGTTATATATATATGTAGACTTTTAATTAGATTCTTACAACTTGTAATAATATCTTCTCCATTTTATCTCTAGAACATAAATATGTCTTGAACCTATATTGTAAACACGACATTGATTAAAGGATTAAACACTAATGGCGAAAGCATGGAGCTTTCTCGACTAGATAACATAGCAGGTGCTTATTTTGCTTACAGGACTATCATGTTTCAAAAAATCAACTGCCCGATGGATAGTTCCCAAAATATTTACAAAGCACCCTCTCCCACAAAGAAAGAAAAAGACCAAAACTGGTATTCCCCTCGTATTGAACCTCAGCCCAATCAATTGGGTCATTCGATTAAATTGACACAGCATAACTAAACTCATGAAAAGGAATTTTCTAACTTACATTTATCAACATTTCACAAATCAGAACTGCAAGCTTCACATAGAATAATTTTCCTTCTCCACGTCCAATGCTTAAATATTTATCGACTAAAATCCCAGAAAAAAAAATAGAGACAGTACATCCAACTATATCTATTTGTTTAAATATATTTCAATACATTAGCGGATGTATATACAGGGAAAAAAAAAAAAAAAAACCACCTGGGTTCAGATGAATTGCCGTTGGTTTTCCATTGATCCATTTCTTCTACTTCCAAAATTGATTCCACGTAAAAGAAGTATTAAATTACAGTAGATTTGGGTGATCGGGGGATCTGAATTCAACGGAGATTTTTTTTTTCTAGGGAATCATCAATTGGAACTACAGTCGAAAATTTTTCATTTTTTATTTATATGTTCACAAATACTAAGAACTTGTGCTCTGCACGAGCCCGGGAGCCACGCTGATGGCGTACCAAAGCCATGTGCCCCTTTAAATTATGGACGAGAATCTCAACGGCGCTTATTTTAATAATTGAATAAATAACATAAGCACTCCTTCAAGTATTATTTTATTGTATTAACACCACTGACATAAAGCAATTCACTCTCCATTGAAGAGTTACTTTTACTTACTGTACAAGATTTTCAATATAACAAAGAAGTAACCGCACCCTCTATCTCGATCGACCTTAGCATGAAGATGTCTCTTGGAAGGGACTTGACCCTCGTTCAAATGTACAAGTTTTAAGATCCATTTAGGCCTGTTCGGTAGTAATTATAAGAATTGATTTTTTGACCGTTAGATAGAAAAGTTGGTCCTACATATAAATGAAGAAGTAAAAAATAACGACCGACTATATTAAGTAACAGTCAAAATATTATTTTTTTAGAGTGAAAAATCAGAACAAAATGGGGGCTAAGTTAATTTTATGAAAATATTCTTCTAGTTAGAAGAGCTTGTTACAATGTAACTTCCTCTAAAAATAAGCTTTTTTTTAGAAATTAATTTTCAAACATCAATTAAGGTAATTTCCTCAAAATTCTCTTTTTAAAAAGTATTAGCAATAGGCACAATTCAATTTTATGAAATATATTTTGCTTCTGCTCTGTGTAACATAACTTAAAAAAACATAACAATTTGACTTGGTAATTTATTTTTAAAGAAAAGGAGAAATTCAAACAAGATTTTATGAACCGTTAACTTAAAAGTAAATAAAAATGAATGATAAAAAATGTGAATAGTATTTGGAGGTTTTCAATAAAATTCGAACATTTATAAATAATTTTTAAATTTTGCCGAACGGAAACAATTCCAATGTTTATCTTGTAAAATTGTTATTTTCAATTTAAAACATGACGTAATTAATTTCCAAATTATTAACAATAAGGTTTGTTTTGTGATTATTCTCGGTAAGATAAAAAATGAAGTAACACTAACTTCGTCGATAAACTGAGAGCTTGTTTGATAGAAAATAATATTCAAAAGTGATTTTTGAAAAGTGTTTCTAGTTGTGAATGTTTGATTAAAAAGCATGAAAAAGTTATTAAGAAACGTGAAAAATAATTTGTTTTGAAGAATATACGATAAAAAATGAGTACGTGAGAGAAGCGATATAAAAAATCAGAATCAAACAAGGACTGAATTGTATATATCAGAAGAATAAAGCATTAAATCATGAATTCAAGGGTAAAATGAAGCAACATGCAATTGAACTTATTTGTATTTTCATGTATTTACATCATTCATTTCCAGATTTCGACATGACAACCAACAAATTTTGTCACGTACCCTTATTTCTTAATTTGCCCAATCATTCAATCTTGCTTACCAAACATGCTGCAAGCTCGTAAACACATAATGAATGAGAGAAATATGACCTTCGCACCCTATGTACACATCCATACATTGTACAAGTACAGCCAGAACCTAACATACATTTCCAAAAAAGAGAATTTCCCAAACACTAAGGTATAATCAGCTCTGTGTGAGAACTGGAAAGCCAAGAGAAAAAAAGGATCAAAGAACGGTTATAGTAATAGAAAGATTAAGAGAAAAGATAATAAGAAAGAATGAATCAGATTAAAACTACTGATGCAGTAAAATGAAGTAGCATCTAAACTTCGACCGATATTATGGTTTGAGGCTTCTGACTTCCTAGTAGTCGGACTAACTTGGCCAACATCAACGGCTGGTGGCACATTCGTAGAGTTCACCGGTTTAGATGGCAAAGCATTTGAACCGTCCATACTATTACCTGCACGAGTGACGATTGCCTTGAGTAACCAACAATGGTTTTTACCATCATAAACGTATACACATTCAAGTGATTCACTGAAACAAAACTCACAATCATACTTCTTCCAACCAAGAACAAGTTTTTCTCGATCAAACACAATGCGGTAGCCAGTCATAAAATTTTCTGAAAAAATGATAAAGTTGGAGTAAGAAGCCACCTACAGAGGTTAAGAAAAATGAGGAATATTGCTAGCAAACGGGAAACTCACGTCCTATTATATTCAGTTCTTCACTCTTGATAACAGCTAAGCAATATACAAGTTCACGCTGCAAATTGTAAAAAGAACGTAAGTTTAATAAAGTTTAAGAAAATTCGCATCAGCGGAACAAGAAATAATGTAAAACGGGCAATTTTTGTGAAGCCATACCAGTGTAGAGATGACAATTATTGGATCATAGATAACCATTTGGCTTCCACCCTTCATCGTTAGGCTCATACTAGGAATCAAACTGGTATTTGCGTCCTGGCTGTTGATCATCAAGAAGAGAAAATAGAAATTAACATCCTGGGATAAAAAGTATAGAAAACTGGAAACAAATTAATGAAAAATATAGTATGACCTCATAATATAACAGTACTTAAAAGGGATTCTTGGATCAGGTGGGCGTCTCTTATCCCGTACATGTGAATGGAACTATGGAAAATTCAAGAAAAAATCAAAAACATATTAGATTAATAACTAAATTAGTAATATACAATTTTTATTTATTTATTTATTATTATTATTATTTTTTACATCCTTACACTTTCTGAAATTCTTGTATAGAAAGGGTCGACTAGATACGTAAAGGAGGTGCCAGAATCGACAAGTGCTGTAAGCTCTGAAACATGGAGAGTAGTTCCAACACGAATTTGAGTGACAGTTATATTGTAGATTGGACTGTAAAAAAAGAAATAGCATTGAAGAGCTAAATTAACTTGATTTTAAATGAAAACATAGAACCATCTAGTTTCCAAAACAAAGTTAAAAAATTCACACTCACTGGTACAGATTCATATTGAATGGAGTCTCTTCCTGGTCAGGGCTACCCTTATCTCCAAAGCTAATCCTCCCGGTTCCATCATGCCCAAAACACATGGAGAAAGAATTCGCAATATAACCTTCCCTGGACAAGATACTAGGAACCGATATTTTCTCGAAACCAAGGCCAAATAAACCATTTGGAGCTGCAATATCTAAGAATGAGCCAGTTTGGACCCGTCCACAGCTGCACAATCATATTAGAGAAAAACGAGGAATCAGAACCATATATCTCAATAGAAAGGGCTGAATAAACGACGTGAAGCTCAAAGCACCACATCAGAGAGAAAACATAAAATTTTAAAAACTCACCCAAATGTGATGTATGGCTTAATATATTCCATATCACCGTCTTCAGTTCTTAAGTGCAGAACATCCTCCACCAAAATTCCAGAAGTTGAAGTTTCGGAAGAGACATAGGAGACAGAATAAGGGCACTGGCTAGATTCACCAGTGCAGCCATAGTAGTGAGGACATAGGTCATTGTTACAAGTGACATTTTTGCTTGTTGATGACCCGTTTGGATCATATATGGTAAGCTCGAAATCCTGCCATGGGAAGCCAAACAATTTAAAATTCACAATTAGCTAAAATACTAAAAGAAACATTAATATTACTGCTGCTCAGCAAGTTAAAGGGTGACGGTTTCTGGAGATATTATTAGGATTTATGTATGCGAATCATTTGTGGGACCATAACTTACCTTTGTACTGTTTTTTCTTTTCTAATAGATCAAATGCTCGTTATCTCTGTACTTTTTGTTTATATTTTCAGGAAAATTTGAATTTAACCATAATACGAGGAACTCATTTGATGAACAAGAATACCCATATTTTAGCTCATCAAATGACTCTAACCTACAATTTGTAGCAGAAAAGCTTTTACTTGCAAACGCAATCTAGCTCAGCTAACTTGCAGCCGCAACGTCTGCATCAGTGGGTGACAAATGAAAGTAATTGAACTAATTATACCTTTAGGGTTGACACATTCTCCAGATAATTAACCTCCAAACAGAAATTTTCCCTGAATTATACAAGAAACCTTAATTACATCATTCTCATAAGCCATTCTACTTCTTGTTAAAAACTCGACTACTAATCACTGAATCTGCATCTAATTATTCTAGCCAAGCTTTCATGATATAAAAGACAAGACCTCTATGAAATCATTTTTTCTAGACAACACAATTTCTCACATTCCTCACACAGTAAAAGTACACGACACATTACAAATCATCATTTGATCTTTAAAAAGTTCGGTCGAACTCACTCTCTTGCAAAACCATCAGTTAACATATAAAACTATTACTTGTAAAATTGTTTCTATTTCTATGATAAAATTTCTCCCAACAACTTAAAAAGGTAAATTATTTCAAGAGAAACAAGATTAATTAAAGGCAATGAGTACAACTGAATAAGAAGAACATACAGAATCATAAGGTAAATCATCTCCAGATGCACATTTCCCACAAGCACAGGGCACCCAAAACAGATCACTCCCAGTATCAAGAGCCACCAGAAATTTCATCTCCGGCGTTCCCAAAGTCACTGTCGTGTAATGCAAACTACACCAACTCTCAATCAAACCTCAACGATAAATCAAGAAAATTCAAGAAAAGGTACAGAAATAATCAATTATAAGTAGAAAAAATTAATCATTTATAATTCTTACAATCCTAAAGAGCTGATACGGAAAGTTGAATTCCCGTCGGAGAAAGTTAGAGACCCATTAGAATCCGACAACCTACGGCCACGCAGGACTCCATCATGGTGCGCCAACTCCGCGTAGTACTCGACACTACCTTTTTCTGGCCAATTTCGGGTCGGAAAATAATTTCCAGTCAGGTGGTACCATTTCTTGACTGGTTCAGAGAAGCGGTGGTGCATTTCCAGAGTGAAAATGCGGGCATTGGAGAGTGGGGATAGCCAGATTGAGAATGAAATAAGCAACAACGTGAAAATGGAAGACATATTTCGACATTCCATGGGAGATTAGAGAAAGATTTTCTATTCATATGAATGGGAATTGAAAGCAGTGATCACTGAATCTTGACAATGAATAGAAAATTATTGAAAGGATTAGAGGGACTTTTGTTAAGTGGGAAAAAGTAGGTAGTTATGGAATTTTACTAATTTGGAAGTTAAAGAAGGGTGTGTTCAACTGTGAACCTTTTGGGATTTAGGTCCTGTTTGTTTTTTTATTATGAATTCCATACAAGAGATAAAAATTCAAATATGATAATTTGATGTGATGAATAACAGTCAGATTTTCATTTTAATGGCCAAATAATGAGAAACAAACACGGGTTTAAAAAGTTTTGGGGTATTCAATTGAGACTTTTTAGAAGTTTCTACAAGTTTTGAAATATTTAAATTTTAATGACTTATAGAGACTTTTATAAAAAATTTCGAAGTACTAACTTTTAAGTAGAAAGTACTCATAAAATCTTAAAATTTGTCTCTTATTAATCGAGTAAATTACTCAAATGGTCATTGAATTTTACAAAAAAAAATTACGGGGTCATTGAACTTTAAAAATAACTCAATTCATCACTGAACTTTGCAAAAAAATTTCACGAGATTACCGAACTTTAAAAATCACCTAATTTATTAGTGAACTTTACAAAAGATTTCTACGTAATCACTGAACTTTGCAAAATATTTTCCAGGGGTTACTAAATTTAGTGATTCATGGGAAACCTTTTACAAAATTCAATGATGAATTAAGTGATTTTTAAAGTTCAGTGATCTTGTGAAAGCTTTTTGTAAAATTCAGTGATGAATTGAATGATTTTTAAAGTTCAGTGATTCCGTGATTATTTGGATAAATCACTCTTCATTAATCACGAGATTTTGAGGGACTTTTACAAAAAAGAATTATTTTTTTCAATCTTTCTTTCCTTTAACAGTTAACCTTCCATTGACATATATGATTAAAATTTATTTTTTTCTATTGATTATATTCCATTTATTTTTCTTTCTTTCTCTCTCTTAATATTTATCTCTGTTTTCTATAAAAGAATTAAATTGAATTCTTGTGGTTTTTTTTTCTTTTTTATTCATTTTGTGAAAAATATCTATATTTTTATTAAATTATAAAATTTTATATGAAAAATTTATAATTAAATTTAAATATATTATTTTTATTTATTTTTAAATGTATACTATACTATATATATATATATATACAGTCATGATCTCTTAAACACCGGTACTTAGCATAAACTAAGTACTGAGTGACGTGGCACATTACAATAGGTAATAAAAGATAATAGTTAGTTTTAGAACTAATTGCACCACATATTATAGTGTGCCACCTAAGTATGGTGTTTGGGAGATCAAATTCGTGTGTATGTGTATATATATCATTTGATTTTATTTATTTAATTAAGGTCTTAAATTTTTATTTTATTATATGGGAAGAAGTGGAAAGAAAATAGGAATTGTGAGAACTAACACCTATGTGAGAATTTCACATCAGATCCACGTGAATTCTATTACAAATGAGAGTTTTCAAAAGCCTTTTGAATTCCACAAAAGTCTATAAAAATTTAAAATAAAAATCCATTGAAGTCTACGAAAGACTTCTTCTAATTCCATACAAATCTATAAAAGAGCTACGAAATCTACAAAAGTCATCACTTTAAAAAAGTCCAGCATAATTTTCAAAAGCCTCAATTGAATATATCCCCGAAAATGCAATTTGGTCAATAGATTTTTCATAGGAACTATATAAACTATAAAGTGAGAAATAATAATTCTCCTTTTCATGTCTTCTTTATATCAAGTGCTTGCTAAAATTCTTTTAAAATTTTATCAAATTTTCTACTAATCAAACTAGAAGATCAGAAGTAAAAAAAAAAAAAGAAAAGTAAATTAACAACCAAAACCAAGAACTAAGAACCAATCAAAACCAGGTCAATATTTGGTTGATGAATCGAAACCATGGTTAACCTACTCTAGAACTTAATTCGTCCTTTTCATAAGTTTTATTATATTTTACAATTTATTTGTCACGACTCAATGGCATATTCCAACAGGCAATACTAACGCACTTTATTCGTTGCTCGCCATACAAACACTTTTTGAGGCGTCATAAGCAAAGCCACAATCGAAAGTGGTTGATATTATGTTAGATAATAGATATTAATTTTTGGCATATTTTTAGTATATTAATGTATTGAAATATATTAGCTCTTATTTCTCTTATTTTCACTAGAGATTGAAAAGATAATTTGTATTATTAGTTCATATTTTTTTTAACAAAAATATTATGGATAAAATAGAATTCGAACAAGAATAATAATCGATGATATGGACTTGGTTCAAATAATTACCTGAAATCAAATAATTTCATTTACGAAATACATAAAGTATCCAAATCTATATCGATTTTCAATTAGAACCACATGTTTTAAGAAATATACAATTTTTATTAATTTTTTAACCATACAGTTTATCAATTTTTATCAAAGTCTATTAAAATTTTATCAAAAGCTTAGTCACACAGACCCTAAATTTTTAATTTTAAACTTATTAAAAATTGCTTTTCCATCATTCCCCATGCACCGCGCATTCCTTTTCTCTTTCCGCTCCTCTATTTTCCATTATTCCCTTTACCCATTGTTTCGCATCCAAGCTCTCTATCTCCATTCAATTTTCCTTTGTCCATGGTCTTAGAGCACATTCGAGAGGTGTTTTGAGAATGAAATATTTTCTATTTTAAAAAGTCAATTCTTACGATTATGTTTCAATAAACTCTTTAAATTAATATTTTAAAATAGAGAGTGAGTTTAACTCTCCGAATTCAGAGAGTCAAACTCACTCTTTATTACTAGAGTATTTCTAAGAGACCCTTATTTCAAAGAGCTAACCCTTAAAAATGTACTCCAAGAGACTCATTAAATTAATATTTTAAAATAGAGATTGGAGAGCAAACTCAATCTCTATAATTAAATGCCCTCAAATTATTTCAATTTTCAATTTAGAAAAATAATATAATAATTTGAAGAGAAGCTAGTGAAAATAAAAGATAGAAAAAAATAATAATAAATACTTTTTGGGAGTAGTAAAAGTAAATGATAAAAATAAAGAGTCTCTTGGAGCACTTAAAATTTTTTGCTATCTAAATTTATAAATGCTCTCTAAATTACTAGATATGCTCTTTAAAAATATAAAATCTCCTGAAGACTCTCTTTAATGCATTTAGAATATTTCGATTTTCAATACTCCATATATTAACCAATTAAATAATATAAAAAATAGAGAAAAATAATATAATAATTTGGAAGGAAGTTAGTAAAAATAAAAGACGGGAAAAATAACAAATATTATTTGGAAGCAGCAAAATTAAGTATTAAAAATAAATAGCCTATTGGAGTACATTAAAATTTTTACTCTTTAAATTTATAGATACTCTATAAATTGAAAAATATACTCTTTAAAAATAGAAAGTTTCTTGAAAATATTCTTACCATGTAATGAGAAGCTCATAACTATGCAATTACTCTCAGACAAACACTTGTATTTCATTTTTCAAGTTAACATGGAAATTATTGGATTCGTCGAACAAAATAAAGTCTTTAAAATTGTAAAATTAGAAGGAAATAAAATGATGTGAGGTATATGATTCCAAATCTCCTTTAAGGCAGATTTCACTCCTAGTGCGAATAGAATAAAAGAGATGTATGTCTCCCAAAAGTACAATGCTTCTTTCAAATTAATCTCACAGTATTAATTTTGGCAAGCAAAACAAAGTTTGTCTGCACTCTGCACTCTTTTGGATTGGACGATATCAAGCACTAGAACTCGAAAATAATTTTAAAATATTCTAAGGGTCCGTTTGATTGCAAAAATGGAATTGAATTGCCTAGAAAATGAATTTCGGGGAATTGAACTGCCTAGAATTGTTTTCCTGGAAATTGTAAATTATTGTGTTTGATTGGTATAATTTTCTAGGTGGAAAATGTTGAAATAAAAGTGTGTTTTTTATGCTCGTTTGGCTTTGTTTTATATGAAAATTGTCAATTAAAGGAAAATATTTTTTTTACAATAATTCTTAGAATTGGTTTCCATTACCAACAAAAAAAAAACGTAAGGAAAAAAAAAAGTCGCTACAGCATGGTGAGAATTCAAATTCCACCAACACAAGGAAAATTCCAAATTTCAAGAAATCCAAAAAATGCAATTCCATGGAAAATATAAGGTATCAAACACCAAAAGTTGGAATTTCCAATTCCAATTCCATCTTCTTCTTTTTTTCATTTCCATGCTATCAAACACTTCCTAATAGAATTCGGAGAAAGAATGAATTATAAATCAATATAATTGAATTAATTTTGGGTGAAGAAAATGAATTATGAGGATCCAATTTATAGAATNTAGATTTTTCATAGGAACTATATAAACTATAAAGTGAGAAATAATAATTCTCCTTTTCATGTCTTCTTTATATCAAGTGCTTGTTAAAATTCTTTTAAAATTTTATCAAATTTTCAACTAATCAAACTAGAAGATCAGAAGTAAAAAAAAAATAAAATAATAAATAAATAAATTAACAACCAAAACCAAGAACTAAGAACCAATCAAAACCAGGTCAATATTTGGTTGATGAATCGAAACCATGGTTAACCTACTCTTGAACTTAATTCGTCCTTTTCATAAGTTTTATTATATTGTACAATTTATTTATCACGACTCAATGGCATATTCCAACAGGCAATACTAACGCACTTTATTCGTTGCCCGCCATACACACAATTTTTTAGGCGTCATAAGCAAAGCCACAATCGAAATTGGTTGATATTATGTTAGATAATAGATATTAATTTTTGGCATATTTTTAGTATATTAAAGTATTGAAATATATATTGGATAATAGCTCTTATTTCTCTTATTTTCACTAGAGATTGAAAAGATAATTTGTATTATTAGTTCATATTTTTTTTAACAAAAATATTATGGATAAAATAGAATTCGAACAAGAATAATAATCGATGATATGGACTTGGTTCAAATAATTACCTGAAATCAAATAATTTCATTTACGAAATACATAAAGTATCCAAATCTATATCGATTTTCAATTAGAACCACATGTTTTAAGAAATATACAATTTTTATTATTTTTTAACCATACAGTTTATCAATTTTTATCAAAATCTATTAAAATTTTATCAAAAGCTTAGTCACACAGACCCTAAATTTTTAATTTTAAACTTATTAAAAATTGCTTTTCCTTTTCTCTTTCCGCTCCTCTATTTTCCATTATTCCCTTTACCCATTGTTTCGCATCCAAGCTCTCTATCTCAATTCAGTTTTCCCTTGTCCGTGGTCTTAGAGCATATTCGAGAGGTTTTTTGAGAATGAAATATTTTCTATTTTAAAAAGTCAATTCTTACGATTATGTTTTAAGAAACTCTTTAAATTAATATTTTAAAATAGAGAGTGAGTTTAACTCTCCGAATTTGAAAGAGTCAAACTCACTCTTTATAATTAGAGTATTTCTAAGAGACCCTTTAAATATAAGATTCTCCTTATTTCAAAGAGCCAACCCTTAAAAATGTACTCCAAGAGACTCATTAAATTAACATTTTAAAATAGAGATTGGAGAGCAAACTCAGTCTCTATAATTAAATGCCCTCAAATTATTTCAATTTTCAATTTAGAAAAATAATATAATAATTTGAAGAGAAGCTAGTGAAAATAAAAGATAGAAAAAAATAATAATAAATACTTTTTGGGAGTCGTAAAAGTAAATGATAAAAATGAAGAGTCTCTTGAAGCACTTAAAATTTTTTGCTATCTAAATTTATAAATGCTCTCTAAATTGCTAAATATGCTCTTTAAAAATATAAAATCTCCTGAAGATTCTCTTTAATGCATTTAGAATATTTCAATTTTCAATACTCCATATATTAACCAATTAAATAATATAAACAAAAAAAATAGAGAAAAATAATATAATAATTTGGAAGGAAGTTAGTAAAAATAAAAGATGGGAAAAATAACAAATATTATTTGGAAGCAGCAAAATTAAGTATTAAAAATAAATAGCCTATTGGAGTACATTAAAATTTTTACTCTTTAAATTTATAGATACTCCCTAAATTAAAAAATATGCTATTTAAAAATAGAAAGTTTCTTGGAAATATTCTTACCATGTATTGAGAAGCTCATGACTATGTAATTACTCTCAGACAAACACTTATATTTCATTTTTCAAGTTAACATGGAAATTATTGGATTCGTCGAACAAAATAAAGTCTTTAAAATTGTAAAAGTAGAAGGAAATAAAATGATGTGAGGTATATGATTCCAAATCTCCTTTAAGGCAGATTTCACTCCTAGTGCGAATAGAATAAAAGAGATGTATGTCTCCCAAAAGTACAATGTTTCTTTCAAATTAATCTCACAGTATTAATTGTGGCAAGCAAAACGAAATTTGTCTGCACTCTTTTGGACTGGACGATATCAAGCACTAGAACTCGAAAATAATTTTAAAAATATTCTAATAGAATTTGGAGAAAGAATGAATTATAAATCAATATAATTGAATTAATTTTGGGTGAAGAAAATGAATTATGAGGATCCAATTTATAGAATCCAATCCATCTGTCCGAAATGGTTGTTGTTAGGAGCTGAAACAATTATTGTCCACATGGACTCCATATCAGCCACCTATGCTCCCACGTATCTTTGTCCAATCACTTGCACCTCGATTTATCCATTCGGAAGGTATGCCTCGACCGTGACGCTTACTCGAGCCAAAGACCAATACTTGTGCAAAAACATAGTCGTGACATCGACCGAGGCCTCGAACAACCCCAACGCTAGCGATAATTTTAGTGGGAACGCCAGTAGGATTAGCCCGAACTAAAATGCACTAAACTAATGTGTGTACATATGGATTTGTTGGACGAATGTTACAAAGGCAAAAACCTGAAAAGCTTTGAAAAAAATTCCCTATACTTTTGGAGGCATAACCTGCGATTTACCTCCCTCACGATGCTCCAGGACAGGAACGGTAGGGGACCCTTAAGTTTGGGGTTCAACGTTTTTTTTTTGAAAAGCTTTGAAAATGAGATTTAATTGTCACTGTCACCTAATGATTGAATTGACATAAAAAAAGACCCAAATAATTAGCTATAAATAAGACCATTGTACAACTGAAAAAGGATCTGAAAATTATCAATTTTGAGATCCCAACTTTCCTCTTTCAACGGTAATCCCTAAAAGAAAAACTACTATAAAAAATCACCTCAGATTTAGCCCTTGTTTGAGCCTCATTTTGAAGGATAAAATGAATTTTTGAATAGTGTATTGATGAGAAATGTGTGGTTAAAAAATAAAAAAAAAATTTTGATTTACGTATAATATTATTTTATTGAAAAATGTGGGGTTGAAATAGTGTCAAATCATTGTTGAAGAATATATTTTGGTAGAAAAATGGGTCTCAAACAAGGGCTTAAAGAATATATGGAGTTGGCCATCCCGAAAATTGAAAGAATATATTCAATCGATCACCATTTTCAGTTGAAAAAACATTAGAATCTTGTCTTTTCTTACTTACTATTTGGCTTCAACAGCAAAATCTCAAAAATGAAGGGGACGGCCTACCGAAATTTTGGCAAAAAATTATTAGTGGCTCGGCTTTTTGAGGTAAATAGTTGCATCTTTTGATACAAATCTATTTGGACCATTAGGTCATACCATTTCAAATGGTGATATGATCCGATGATCCAGATTGCATCATATCTAAGATCGCGACTCTTTGTTAAGCACTCATTGCACTTGGAAGAGTCGCTCACAATCATGGCACTAATTGGAAACTTATTTCAATTCAGACATGTTAATCATATAACCTCTGGAATTCTAACAATTTTGTGGTTGAAATTAATGTTTTATCTTAACTGAATAAAAAATTTAATTTTTTTATAATTTTTTGTGTTTGACGATCAGAGACTTTATAATAAGCAATTTGAAGAAGCTTCAAGATTTCGCCACAAATTGGGATACAAACTAGACTCATTTTCGTAGACGCTGATAACAAAGGCTTTCAGTTCCCACCCACTCAAGACAAAATTTGGTGATGCACTTTAAAGTGAAGCACAAGTTCAGTGACTTGCAAAATAAAATATTTTTCACAATTTCTATATATATATTTGCAAAACAGCAGTTTATGAGCCTATTTCGGAGTGATTTTGAAAATTAATTTTTTCACCATTAGAAAAAAAGTGGGTTCCACCTGTGAGAGAAGAAATCAAATATGACGGCTGAAATAATGAAATAACGATAAAATAATCACTCCTAAACAGGCTGTATATACAGAAATTACGTCACGTTTCATTAATCTCCTTGTAACTGCAAAATTACAACTCAACTACATTAACAAAGTTTTAATGATATCTAACTCAAAACGGAGAAGCAGATGTACTGAATTCAAATTTATTAGACTGTGACTCTATTCGAGTGAAAGGCGAAAACACCTCCATCTGATGCACGAACTGCACATCATGAACCAATGGATTATCCGTCCTACTCGGTGGAGATCCCGAGTAACAAGAGGGAGAGCATCCAGTGCACATGCATCCTCGTCCATCTGTTGTCTATATCGTCGAAAATTAACATAAAACCACCATAAATGTTAAAATAAACGAGCATTACGAATATCAAGTCCAAGGTTGGTACTCGGGATCCTCAAGCCTTGTCTTGCTTAGTGTCTCAAGGAACCCTGAGCACCAAGCTCGAGGTTCAAAAATTAACATGGATATAATTAGAAAGAACCTTTTCTGCAAGCATGTATGGAACCCCACTTCTTGCATCAGAATTTGGCTTGCTGATCATGACATTGCACAAACAAATAATTAGAGAAATTCCTTATTTCCTTATAAATTATAATAACCCAAAAAATAAGTTTGATTAACTCATTAAATTAACCTGTTCTTGCTGCATTTGAGAGGATTAAGATATTCAGGCAAGGCTGACCTGAGCCGACGAGGCTTAGGACAAAGAGGGGTGGAATCACTGCCTTTAAAATCTAGTTTGGTTGTCTCTGCATTTGTATCAATAAGGTTGTTTTTAACTGCAAAATGATGCATCAGGCTGAGGGGAACTTACAGAAGTGAAGAAGAATAATTTGTAATTGTTTTTTTGGTAAAATTACTTTCAGTTTATTTATAAGTATTTGGAATGGTAATGCTTTACAGCAATGCATTTGCGTGGCTGAGATTAGTCTTATGATTTCCTAACTTTCCTCTAATTCTTGTCTTGCCTATATTTCATTTGGTCCAAGTAATTAGGTTTTAGTTTTACCATAGTCAAAAGACTACGTTTTATTTATTATTATTATTATTTAATGTATTGATAGTCCTTACAAATGCTATTATGAAACATAGTTACTTGAAGATAGGGCCCGTGGATGATGAGCAAGGACTGCACTGAGGATGTGACAAATATTTGAAACTACTCTCGAACCATCAAACGAATTCCGATCCAAATAGAAACCATGTGAGATACAAAGGAAGCATGTTCATCCATAGGTCAAATCAGATATGTAATTATTGGAAGGGAATATTGCAGTAGACGCTCCAAATCTTTAAAATATTAGCAGACTTTTCCCAAACTTTTAATTTATTGCAACCGCCACCCCAAACCTTTCGAAATGTTGCGGCGGAGGCCCTTTTGGACGGTTTTCATCCAAATGTCAGGTAGTTGATTAAGAATTTTGACTTTGACCATATTTTTAATATTTTTGAAAGGGTAAAATAGTAACTTCCGTTTATTACATTAAAATAAGTGAAAAATTAAATTAGAAAAAATAAGAAATTAAAAAAAAAAGAAAAAAAAGAAAGGAAGTCAGTCATCTTCTTCCTCCACCCCCACCCCAAACACAAACCCAAAATCAAAATCAAAATCAGTTAATGCCACCGCCGTCGCTGCTTCCACCTTCCTTCAGCATTGGAGGTATTAGGGCTTCACATACAGCAGCTAATGATTGAATCTGAGATGAAGAGAAGCCATGGTTATAACTTCTGCTCACTCCTCCCCTTAACAATCGATGACTCTTTCTGACTCCTTCCATTTCTCTCTCTCCCCCCTTCCTCACCCTCTCTACTATCTTTCTCTTTGTATTCTGTTATTTTTCAAACCTTAAGCTGTGTTATCTTATATAGCACTAAGGACCTGTTTTGCAAGGCTATTAAATAGTCAAAAATTGTTGTTGAAGAACCTATTTAAAATATTTTTTGAAAGTGTTCTGTTTTGATATGAGAGCTTTTAAAGGAATATTCTGCAAATCTCTTTACCAAGGACAAAACTGGCCAAATTCTTCAGCCTTGTATTCTGCAAATTTCTCATCTTATATGTATATGCCGCGAATATAAGAGAAATGGATGGGTTGATGGACTAGACAGCAACGACCAACGCAAAGCTGAAGGAATGGACAAACATGTGGAACAGAGGGGACGTGAAGGTGGAGGTGGCGGTAATTGATTTTGGGTTTGGGGTGGAGGAAGAAGACGACTGGCTTCCTTTTTTTTTTTTTTAATTTCTCACTTATTTTAATATAATAAATAGAAGTTACTATTTTACCCTTTCAAAAATAATAAAAAATATGATCAAAGTCAAAATTCTTAGTCAACTAACAGACATTTGGATGAAAACCGTTCAAAAGGGCCTTCGTCGTAACGCTCTGAAAGGTTTGGGGTAATGGTTGTAACAAATTAAAGGTTTGGGAGAAATCTGCTAATGTTTTAAAGGTTTGAAGCTTTTGCTGCAATTTTCCCTTATTGGAATATGGATTCTTGGTTCCGGTCAATTGCATAGTGTTTCTAACCACTCTTAAGGGCACTACCCTTGTGTTGTTCTCCTTCCTTCTAACACATTTTCTTGGAAGTTTCAACCAATTCAATCACCGTTTATTATTGCTTTACTAGTCGAAAATTATTCAAGGAAACCACTGGACAATTAGTAGGAGGAAATATTAGGAAATTGCCGATTGACCTAACCATATTTTCATTTTGGCCTTTGACCATTAAAAAAAGAGAGATAAAAGTTAAATTGTAAAGTTAAATGACCAAAGCCATAAATATCCTTTCTCATCATGAGCAAATACTGGAGGAGAAAGAAAAAACTCTCAAAGTCGAGATCCTTTCCGTACATTCGACCACACCACCCTCACAATCACCAGAAAGTTGCTCAACCAACTGCTTTTTTCCTGAATTTTTTACTGTTTAATTAATTTGCCTCTGTTTGGATCTTATTTCTCTATCATTTTTAGAATATTTTAGCCTGTTGCACAGTACACTGGGGCCCACTATTCAGCATTTCATTGTGTACTAGTATAATGTTTTCCAACCATTTTCTAGTTCTAACCCCCTCTCCTGCTCCCATATTTAAAGCATTGATTGGGCAGTTGGTTGGTTGGAGGTTAAAAAGGGAAAAGCGAAAATAAGAAAAAAAAACTCTTCATGCAGTGCGTTGTACAATGGTCTAAAAAATTCTATAAATGAGAACTAAATGAGCTCCAAACAATGGCTTCTTTTCTCATTATTATAATTTAATTTTAAATCATCTTTATATTCTTTATTTAATTTGTATAATTTCCTTTTGTTTAATTTTTTTATCAGTATTGTTGTAACAATTTTAAAATTTCTTAAGGGTTTTCTCTCGTTATAATTTATTTATTTTTTCAATTTAAAATGTTTTTTAATATTCTTGCTTTAATTTTTATATTTTTTGTAATTTTCTTTAATTATTTTTCTTTTGGTCTTTACTTTTTATTTAGCCCCTGTTTAAGCCCCATTTATGTCAAGAAAATGCATTTTTGAATAATGTAATGATGTGAAATGTGTGGTTAAAAAATAAGGAAAATTTTAGATTTTCGTGTAATATTATTTTATTGAAAAATGTGTAGTTGAAATGATGTCAAAACACTGTTTAAGAATGTATTTTATCAAAAAAATGGAGCTTAAACAAGGGCTTAATTTAACTTATTTTTTTCCTAATTTGTTTTAAATTTCTTAATTATTTTCAGTTTATCATAATTTAACTTTTTACAAGTTAAAATACTTTTTTATATTCTTTCTTTAATTTTTATAGTTCTTTAATTTTATTTTTTTGGTAATTTAATTTAATTTATTATTATTATTCTTAATTTTTTTTTAAAAAAAATTACTTAGTGTTTTTGTTTATCATAATTTAATTTTACTTCAATTTATAATGGTTTTTAATACTCTTTCTTTAATTTAAATTTTTATTAATTTAATTAATTTTAATTTTTTTATTTTTATTAGTAATTCTTATTTTTATTTTTTTCTTTTATTTAATTTTATCATTTCCTTTTTCTTTTTCTTTTTTTGTTATCGTCGATGTAAAATGAATCTATTTCTTGCATATAATAGTTACAATTCGATCCGCTTGATTTTTTAAGATTATGCTTTATTCTATTATCTCTTGAAGAATGTTCTAGTATTTGAAATTTTGCAGTATAGAATACATTGAGTTGAGACAAATGACAAGAAAATATATTTGGAGCAACAGTTTCAACAGTTTTACTATTGTATTAGAGCTGCTTGATATGCTACGCAGTCTTTCCTATAACCCTCTAATTGAAAGAGGTACAGTATTTTCAAGCAGATCATTGATTTATTACTATGTCGATTGCTTATGCCAGTAATCGACAATGCACTCCACTTCGACCTCAAGGGGCAAGCTCGCTAGTTTTTCAATATTCGAGTTTGCCCTCATAATTGGATTAAATATTAAGACGATGAAGAAACGAGGTACGACGTATATTTTCAGGGACAGGGGATGGTACTTATGTCGCAGTTGATTGGCATAATCAAGGAATACGACCAGATTTTGAACAAATTGAAATTGTGATTAGTCTATATTCTTGAGAGCGTGGTGAGGTGTCATCACAAAAAGATTGCGATGGACTCTTTTCATTTGTAAGTTGTTGATGACATCGATACTTTTGACAACTATCCGTGGAGCAGAGATGTTTTCAGGATGTCACACACATCTTCATGAGATCACATTCAATGCCCAATGGACTTTGCGCAAGTACAATATTTATGGATTGTCCTTGACAGTGTAGGTAAATGTTTAATATAATCAATGTTAAAGTTTTTTATATTAAATAATAATTGTATGTGTTGCAAATTTGGGCATATGAGCTACCCCCTCTTGAGTACCTGATTTGTGAGGACAGAGAATACACGCTGCCATCTGATGCTTCATTGATGAGCATCTCGAGCAGATGGTTGTCCATCCGACAAACAATTATTAACTCTCCTCGATGACCCTCGGGTGAGTATTATATATTTGCGATTTATATTGTACGTTATTTCAAAATCTCAACAAATTATCATTAGCTAGTTGAAATGTCAATAGATCAGCTTAAAGTCCTAACTGAGTTGATGTCATCGACGAAGGAGGAGGGTCATGATTTTGTGCGTGAATTAGCCATTTTGCATACTTAATATGACCAGATATTCGATTCCATCTTAAATCGAGATTGGGTATGTTAATTAAATATAATTTGTTGATTAGCATTTAGTATGAGTTGGAATATTTTAATTAAATTATTAATTTTTAATATTTTTATTTGTGTAGAAGTGCGGTCTAGTTGATCGACGATTACCTTCGACCCAAATATCACCTCCGTCGAGGGGATTACCTCCGTCAATGAGATCTTCGCCTGGAGATCTCCTTCTCTCCCATCAAGACATTTCCTCGTAGATCACATGTACACAGTCATCGTCGTTATTTCAATAATTTGTATGTACACCGACTAAATTTATCGGAGAGGATGTGGGCACGTTACAACAAGAGTTGAGAGAGGAGGTGGGCGCACTACAACGAGAGTTAAAAGATGAGGTAGGGACGCTGCGACGAGAATTAAGATGCGAGGTAACAGATTTATATCATAATGTTGGAGTGGTACGAGATTATTTAGTAGACTTTTAGGATGAGGTTGCAGCACTACGAGACGATATAGCAAGTAAACGAGGGGGTGACGGACAGGATGATAGAGAAGGTGGTCACACAAGGTATGTCCAAACGTTGTGGATAGAGGAAAATGCCCCTCTTGGGGATACAAGGAGTGGCCTCGATAGTGATGAAAGATGTGGTGGAGGAAAGGACGGATGGGGTACTCCTGATAATTTAGGATACGGAGATTTCCAGGGTGAAGGGTATGCCCGAGATTGAGGGGTGGCAGATAAGGAGAGGATGCCCATCATGACTGAGGGTAAAAAGCGTACTATTGATGTGTCAGAGCAGGTAGTCGATGAAAGGCCGATATTATCATCATAGTACTTCATTTCTCCCTTCGCGACTGAGGCGAACAAAAGGACGTTCGTGAATGAAAAGTATCCTAATCTCTTTTGAGAGGTAGATCTTGCCAAGCAAAAAACGTTCGAAACAGAGTGGAGAAGAATTACGTCGAGGTAAATACTTTATGATTTTAGTAAAGTAAGCTAACTCATCTATATTTCTTTTAAAATTTTTTTTTTCTTTTTTCAAAGTTATTTACACGATAGTTCAAAGGACGATATCGGATGCTTATAAGTGGTTTTGGGACATCATGACTTCGGAAGCTTAGCTCACTGACAATGTAAGTGTAATATCGCAATTGTTATTTATTATGTATACATAATTTGTTGTTTATTCAAATAAATAACTCTATCTTTTTTTTATTAGTGTTTCCTGCTGTAGCATATCAATCTGGCTATGGATCAATTGTGCGATCAGGTTCAAAGATATCCA